CGCTGCAAAAGGCCGCATGCACCACACATGGAGCCAGCTCTACATGTGAATTTTCCAAGTTGGGCTTCACGGGAGTTTAGGGTTTAGGGCGTACTGCTCAGGGTTTATTGTGTAGTGTTTGCTTTAACTGTTTAGGGCTTCGGGTTTAGAAATTTTATGACTCTTTGTGTTTTGCCTTTTTTTCGGAAGGGGGGGTGGTCTAAGAGTTCAGCGAACTTCACCGGCTCTGCCGTTTCAGCCTTGGATCTGCCGGGTAGAATTGAGGAGGAGGGCCGCTTGTGCTTAGGGTTGAGGGACCCAGAACTCCTAAGCCCCTAAACCCCCAAACCCCCAAACCCCTAAACCCCTAAACCGCAGCCGTCCGCCCTGTAAACTTGCGAATCCCAGGCCGACGTTGAAGTCACTCTGCGAGCGAAACTGGCCGGCTCTACAAGCTGCGAAAGAATGTGCTTCACTAATCCAGACAGTCCGTGGGTATATCTACCTGTGTGCACACACAGAATATGTAGTCAATGAATGTAGTCATACTGGTCGTCGAAACCAGGCTCACAAGCTTGCTATGCCCTCGCAAACGAATTCGTACATCTCGCAAGAGGTCATGTGCAAGAACCTGACTGGCTCCACTACTTTACAGGATCATCCAGACCACGCTGTCCTTCAGGCAAACTCTTCCAGAGAGGTTTATCCTTTTGCCATTTGAAAGGAGGATACCAAGGCCCCAGCCAAATGCGGTTGCGCTTCTCCGGCAAAGGAGTGAAGTAGAGGCACTTGGGCTGTGACTTAAGAACAATACTGGTCCAGTCATCCGTTTTTGCCACGAAGCTCTGCAGCTCGCTGCCGTCACATTCCGTCAATGAGACAAAGGGTGACGTGCCTGTTAGGCAGAGCTGGTTCATGTGGAGGACGATCTCGCCCTTCTTCGTGAACTCCCAAAGCTGAGCTGGCCGATCCTCACAGGGTTCACCAAGCACCTGGCCGTCGTACCAAGTCAAGCAAAATGAAAATCCATCGAATTGTGTGATCCAGCGCATCACGTCAGTTGGTAGCCCCGTTGTCGTCGCGGTAGTAGCGGCAGTGGTACCGGCACTGGTAGTTGTCATGGCACTGGTGGTTGTCGGGTTGCATGGGTTGGGTGCCTCGAAGTCATAGCACGTTGCATCCGGCTTGCTGCCACATTTCAACAACTTGCCGTCATGACAATAGAAAACGTCCACCTTCTGCAGTGGAAACCAATCTACATACACACATTCGTAGTCTCTTGCATACTTCAGAAACCCAAACCAACATCCTCCTCCGCAACCTTTCTTTGCACAGCCGGTCACAGCCTCTGCCTCCGTGCCGTTGATCGTGACCCCTGGCTTTTGCCATGTCTGGAGCAGCTGCGCAACTTCACAAGATTCCTCGGATGCCGCTTCTGCCAGCAGCAGCACTACACTGTAGAGGAGAAGCATGGTGGAGCAGCTGGGCTGGTTAACAAGGTGCTTTGTGAGGGCGAAACCAGGCTTTGCAAGCCGAGCTTGAGCCAAAGCTTCCTCCCGATTTTGATCCAGCTCCGCCTTCCAAATGTCGTTCAACGTAGGATTACTTTTCGGGACTCAAGGTTTGGGAGGTCGGGCAGAAGCGTTCGGGCACCCCAACCGAAGTCGGACCTTAACAGGAGCGGATGAACTTCCTTTGCACGATCCGGTGTGGGTATTGCCGCCTACAGAACTGTCTCTTGGACTTGTTGGTGAGGCTTTTGACGAAGGTCTTGTCGGCTTTGTGTCGGGTTTGGGAAAAACAGAAGCTGGACATGTTGCATACGCGCCCCAAGCTCTTGACCCGAAAACATGCAACAGCATTCCCACACTCCTGCGAAACAGACTTGCTGATCCTGATTCAGCCCCTTGGCCTCCCATCAAGCATGGCGTCTCAGCCACCCAACCGAATTGGCACACAGGCTGCAGGGGCCCGTGGCCCCATCAAGGCTCGAGCCCTCGTCTCTCCGGCAGTTATATGCAATTTGATGGATTTCCATTTTGGGAATTCTAGCGCACGGTCAGTGCTAGCTGAAGTGTTGTCCTTGCTTGGGTTGCTATTGTGCACGGCACTGTCATTCTCATATCCTGCTATCTTCTTGTTATCGTTGCCAGCATGATCGACGATGATTCCTAGGACGATAATTGTGACTTGCGATATCGATGAGGTGATGATGACGATGCTGATGATGATGATGATGCTGCTCATGATGAGGATGATGCTTATGATGAGGATGCTGCTGATGATGGGGATGATGGTTACAATGATAACTTAAAGATGAATATTGTGGCAATGGTCACGATGGTGATGATGATGATAATGATGATAACGCTGAACTTTCTGATATTTGTTGTGCTGCCGCTGAAGAATACGAAGGTGGTGATGAGCAGGGCGACGAAGACAAACATCGTGTATTAAGCATAGCTGCTGCTGTCATTCTGCGTGCTGGGTGGCCAGTAGCTGTAGTAGGAGGAAGCAGCAGTAGCAGCAGCAGTAGCAGCAGTAGCAGCAGTAGCAGCAGTAGCAGCAGTAGTAGTCGTGGTGGTTGTAGTAGTTGTTGTTGCCGCAGCATTGAGGATAAGAGCCCCTTCATCGACGATTCCGCTGGTTGAAGGCTACGCCTGTCCCCGAAGGGGATGAGGCTGAGATCAGTCACACCAAAACGTTACTTTGATCTCCGCTTCTTTCACACGTCCCAAAACCCGAAACCGCCACAACAGCTGTATCCAGGTGGTCCTTCCTGTTCTTCTGTTGCGTGCCTTGCCGCTGTTCTAACGCCTACAACCAGTTCACGACGTGAAATCCTGACCCCTACAACCAGTTATTACTCCATCAGGGCAGTCGAATTTTTGCACTGCAGTCACAGCATGCTTCCTCTCCTCCCAGGCTCACCTCAGCTAGGATTGAGATCTCAAAACCCGATAAGCACCCCACTCACAACCCGAGAGAACAAACGGAAATCATGAGGCTGATAGCAATAAAACTACTGACGGTAGAAGCAACGATAATGGCACTGAAGCTACCGCGGGCAGTCATGATGATACCCAGGATGCTGAAAAGGATGAGATGCTTAATGACAGCAATGGTCATAATTTCACAAGGTCAAGGCAACTATTCCGAGGGTGATGGGAAGATTGGTAACAAAGGCGACGATGCTGGCGATGCTGCCTGTAATGGTAATGATAAGAACCTAACCACAGTAGCAACAATCAGGATGTCAACGATCCGAACCGTGAGAATCATGATGCTAAGGATGAAGCCCTTGGAACTCGGAACCCGGGTCCCCAAAGTCTCAACCCCGAAACCCTCAGCTTCCAAACTCTGAAACCCAGAATATCCCAGAATGTCTGATTTTGGTTTCGGCTTTAGGGCTGAAGATCATTGCAGATTTCCACACAAAGGCTAGACCGCTCTTGAAAGACGAAGGGTATGCGGTGTAATGGGGCTGTATCTCGTGGCTGAACTCTGAATACCGCGTCGCAAAAGCACGAAGCCGCAGCCCTTAGCCTTACCTTGCTTTGAACTAAGCTATATATATATGCATATATTCTACGTTTCTTTCTCTATACATACATACATACATACATAAATACATACATACGTACATACATACATACATACATAAATATATGTATACATACATACACACACATACACATAGACATACATACACATATACATACATATGTATATAGATATTTACATCTGTGGTTCGACTTTACCGCATATGAAACCCGAAGCTGCTAAACCCTCAATGCGAAACACTAAAACACGAAGCCCAAGACCCCGAAAAGCTCTCGGTACCAGGGCGCATCCTCAAGCATGGGCCAGAGAACCAAAGTGCGCACGGGGCATGTAGTGACCCTGGCTCTCGGGACATTGAGGTCTCAGGACTTCGGAGTTTAGAATATAGTTTAGTATATAGCATAGAACATATTATCGTATTGCAGCGTATCGTCTTGAATATTGTGGAATCAACATTTGACCCTGCCGACAAGGACGCTGACGACATAATCATCCAGTTCGATTGAAGATCGGAACAAGACTTGCGCCTGTCCATGTCTACCCCGTTGATTATTCTGGCATCCTACAGTCCTAGAGAAACTGACGACTGCGCATGGCGGCGCAATACATGCAAACTTGCCACCACCGCCAAAACCCGAGATGGCCATAGACTTGGATGTGAAGAGACGACGTCACACCGAATAGCCCGTCTCCCTGGCCCTGCCCTTGCTCGGTCTTTGTAAGCTGCACCCCACAAGTAGCGCCAGAAGAGGCCATGGCCGAACACTTCAATCTTCGGATCCAAGCGTCGGAGTTACGCTTTGCCAAGTGTTGCGTGCAAGGCTCGTAGCAGGTTCCATACTCTGCTACATCGGGTTACTTCCGAAGCTTTGCGGCGACAGCCTGGAGACTTTCTTCTTCTGTGCTTTGCCTAAATATCCTACCTTAACCTACAATTTTAAGGACTTATATAACGAAATCATATTAGGGAACCCAGCACCCATGGCCCCCGAGACTCAAGAAGCTTTGTCTTGGCCCCGCAAGGGCCGGGGCTTCCCTTCAAGCACGGTTTGGGGTTCAGGCCTTTCGGGCTTTCAGGCGTTCCTTTAAAGGAAAAAGGCTCTATAGAAGGGTTACTGTCAGGGATACCTATAAGGGTACTATAAGATAGGGGCCTAACAAGCTTCTTTGGCATTCCGGGCTTTACACTCAGAGCTTCAGGGATCAGCTCCGGGTATCCCCTCAGACCAACTCAAGTCGGGCAGCTGCAGCCCAGAGCTAGCTTTGGAACACCATCTCCTACACCCTAAACCCTAATACCGAAGCCCTAAACCCCTAAACCCTAAACCCAAGCTAGCTTTGGAACACCATCTCCTAAACCCTGCCTAAACCCCTAAACCCTAAACCCATGCTAGCTTTGGAACGCCATCTCCTAAACCCTAAACGCTAATACCTACATCCTAAACCCTAAACCCATGCTAGCTTTGGAACGCCATCTCCAGAGCCCCCTTGGGACCCGAGAGGTGGTCTAAGACCTGCTCATCGAGCTCAGATACAGACTGGGAGACGCCAATGGGAACCTGGGCTCAGTTTTAAAGGATTTTCTTGTAAGTTACAATAATAGAAATCATAATATAATAATATTAATAGTAGTAATAATAGTAACAACAATAATAATAGGGAAACCCTATAATAGGGATCTATAAGGGTCCCTTTAAGGATTTAGGGTTTAAGTTAACAGTGATAGGGAAACCCTATAAATAGGAGTTCCTTCAAGGGTTTGGGGTTTTGTGTAAGTTACCATAATAAGCGGAAACCCTATAATAGAGATCTAGAAGGGTTCCTTTAAGGGTTTAGGTTTTAAGGGATTAAGTTAGCATAAAAAGGAACCCTATACATAGGGATCCAGAAGGGTTCCTTTAAGGGTTTAGGGTTTAAAGTTTAAGTTACCATAATACGGAAACCCTATAAATAGGGATCTATGAAGGTTCCTTTAAGGGTTTAGGGTTTAAAGCTTAAGTTACCATAATAGGGGAAACCCTATAAATAGGGATCCAGAAAGGGTCCTTTAAGGGTTTAGGGTGTAAGGTTTAAGTTAACGTAATAAGGGAAACCCAATAATAGGGATCTATGAGGGTTCCTTTAAGAGCTTAGGGTTTAAGATTTAAGTTACCATAATAAGGAAACCCTATAATAGGGATCTAGAAGGATTCCTTTAAGAGTTTGGAGTTTAAGGTTTAAGTTACCATAATCAGGAAACCATGTTATTCACTATAGACCCCTATTATGGTAACTTACACAAAATTCCATAACAAGAGCCCAGGAACGGAAAGGCTCGGCGTCTGCGGCTCTTCGCGCCGGGACTGCTGCTCGAAGAACCTCGCAGGGGACAGAGCTACCCGGCTACCCTCTGCTCCCGGAAAGGCGAAAAAAAGAAGCTGATGCAAGTACCGGAAGACGCTTAGTAGGGGATGGGGGATGGATCCCGTATAGTAGTCCCTATATAAAGCCGCAATAATAGTCTCCATAGTCCATTCCCCCATTCCCTACTAAGAACCAGACAGAGGAAGGGAGTCACGGTCAGGACGGCACAGTGAAGAGAAAGAGAACGAAAGATATGAGGCTAGAATAGAAATGGAATCAGGAGCCGGCCGGAAGCAGCCTGACGATGCTAGTAAGATTGCTCTCTCGGCTCTACAGGAAAGCAACAAGGCGCAGGGCGCACTGCAGGGGTTTTGGGTTTTGAGTCTAGCGTAGCAAGAAGAGGAGCTGCGCATGGATCAGAGCATAAACACTCCAGATTGAGGAATTAAAGGCCGATTGGCTTGCAGGCATCAGGAATCCCGACAACACCAAACACGGAGAGGCCGCACAACTCCAGACCCATCAAGCCTTTGAGCCAAACCATAAAATTCACAAAAATGGGCGGAATTCTCGGCTTCGAGGTAGAGAGCGCGTATATATGTCATGTGTTCAGCATTTAGGGTGGTGGCTTTGTTCTGGCTGGGGGTTTTCGCGTTTTGGGCCGACACTCACATCAAAGACCCTCAACCCCCAATGATCTTCACACCCTAAGAGCCTAAACCCTAAATCCCTAAACCCTAAATCCCTAAACCCTAAACCCTAAACCCCCCAACCCGGCAACTTTAGAGTTTCAGCCCAAACCTCGGAAGCCCGGAACTCGCTCAGCCCGCCTGTGGTCGATGTCTCCTGCATAGAAGGCTTAGAGGCTGAGGGGTTTAAGGTTTAGGGTTTAGGGTTTTGGGTTCGGTTTAGGGCTTAGTTTTTAGGATTTGCGGTTTTAGGGTGTTTTTAAGTTAAGGTCTATAGGGGTTAGGGAGGGCTCCTCCCAAGATTGCTGCAAGGGTTCTTAGACGGCTCCTTTACGGATTGGTAACATAAGGGTTCTTATAGGGATTCCTAACTCCTGTAGGATTCCTACCATTAAGGTTCCAACATAAGGGTTAGCCTAAAGGCTCCGATAAGGGTCCTACCAGGGGTGAGGAGTTGAGGGTTTTGGGTTCAGACGGTTCAGCGTTGAAGGCTAAGGGCTTTAGGGTCTCGCTTCGATGCGCAAGCTTCTCGTTCCAGAAAATTCATGCGCAATCTGCAACAGAACAACGTCAATCAAGCGGGATTACCGGGGTAGTGCCTGAATAAAGGAACCGCATAAGCTACACACGCCTCCCGAGTCCCGATAGCTGTAGCCCCTAAGCCCTGAATTCTGAGCTCCAACCCTGGAACCCACACTTCAAACTTACACGATGCACCTTTGCGGCTCATCCCCAGTGCGAAAGTACACTGGGCACTAAGCCTCAAACAGCAAGCCACATAGACACAGCAGAGCCAAGAAGCATGCTGTCTGCAGAACATCTTTCATGGTTCTTTGCGCAGAAGGGGGAAGGAAATACAGCGACCGACACTGCGCAACACTATGTCTATATTTGTTGGCATGCCAAGTACAGACATACATACTCACAGACACGCAGACGTTCATACCAGCATGAAAACACGCGCACATGCGACATCGACGGCACATGAGTACGTATGGCGGCCTCGGGCGTTTGGGGCCTGAGTTCGGGATCCCAAACCCTGAACCCCGCACAATTTTAAGACCCCAAAAGTACCCCAAACCGTCAACTCCAAATCTGGAACACAATAAATCCCTATACATCCCTTATCGGAACCCCTAAAGCAATCACCCGGCCCTTCAGTCTCTCCTGTGATGTACTTGCCATCGAAGACTGAAGCATCGAAACCGAAACGCAGTCGTTCAGGATTGAGGCCGCGCACACACTCCACCTTCGGGGGTCTGTATAGGGGGTTCTTACAAGGCAGCTGGCAAGGAAGGAGAACTGCTTGAGGCTTAAGGCTTGGCTTCTGTTCCGCAAGGGGGTGACTTGTTTGGGGCTTCGGATTCCGAAGTGCGGCTTCATGTTCAGATATTACAATATAGACAAGTAAATTAACTCTTGCGAGCTGCTAGCACTGTCCCCTATACGACCTCAGGCAAATGGGGGTGAGGCGCTTTTCAGAGGCTTCAAGTAAGGGGCCACGAGAGCCATGACTCTCAGGAACCCTGTGCCCATCCTCTCAGCCCCGTGATAGGTACCAGACACTTTGGACCTCAAGCCATGCTTCGATGTCCCAAAGCTTCGGCAAGGCTTCAGGGTTCGAGGCTTCATGCTTGGAGGATCATGGGACTTAGTAAGTAAGGTTCTAAGTACCTTAGTTGGGGTTATAAGTAGAGTTACCCTAATTATAACCCTGGTTACCAAGTCCCATGATCCTTTAAGTGGACCCTAAACCTTAAACCCTATAGATCCCTTTAAGGAACCCTTTAAGGAACCCTTTAAGGAACCCTAGTTACTAAGTCCCATGATCCTTTAAGTGGAGCAGGGTTCAGTCGTGGACCCGGGCCTGTCCAAGAATCCGCAGACACCGCAGCAAACCAAGGGATTAGGGATTAGGGATTAGGGTTTAGGGTTTAGGGTAGAAAAAATGCACAACCATTTACCCCACCATCCTATGTCAAAAAGTTGGACTTCCGGACAACCGCACCCTGCGCGCTCTCCTCGAACCCTGAACCCTCCACACTTCAACCCTAAAGCCTCTAAACCCCTTTGAATCTCTAAGCCCTCTAAACCCCAAGCCCACCAGATCGTTCAGGTCTTGGTAGACCACCCAGTCGGCTCCGATCAGCTTAGCCACAGTCCCCTGCGCCCCACTACCCGTAAGGTTTCAGGTTCCGGGATCAGAGTGTTTAGGGGTTCACGGTTTTTGGGGGCAGAGGCTCCGCCACTACAGGATGAGGGTTGAAGATTCAGGGGTCAGAGTTTAGCTGCTTAGGGGTTTAGAGCTACGGGATTTGGACGCTTGTTTCCTATTCCGAAGATCCCGAGGTCGGGTAGATGATCCACACAGGCCCTGATACCTGCGTTCGAAGAGGCTCTAGGGTTCAGGGCTGCAGTGTTTCAGGACCGACGTAAACCTCCCTCCACGTAGGATTTCAGTCTTTGCGAGTATGCAAAGCTTGCAAGCTTTGGAATTCGGGGCGGTAACTTAACCCTGAACCACAAATCCTGAACCCTATTAAACCCTTTAAACCCTGAATAAACTCCAGACTACAGTCTTGTGGTTTCAGCTTGGAGCGGCGGTCTGCTAGGCTTCGGGTTCGATTAGGGTTTAGAGGTTTAGGGTTTAGAGGTTTAGAGTTTAGAGGTTTAGGGTTTAGAGGTTTAGAGTTTAGAGGTTTAGGGATTAGGGATTAGGGGTTTAGGGTTTTGGGGTTTAGGGTTTAGGGGTTTAGGGTTTCGGGGTTTTGGGTTTAAAGGGTTTAGGATTTAAGGGATTGTCGCTGTAAAACAACTTCAAAGTTATCGGCGACGGAATGTTACTTCCATTCCCAAGGTCGATGCAGGAGTATCAAGGTTCACCGCCTAGCACTTGAGGTGCTTGACTGTTGCGCCAAAACCCTCAACCCCAAATCGTACCTCGTCCCGGCCATTGGCAATTAGATCTTCCTTTCGAGGGAGGTCGATGCCGTAAACCTGCCGGACAGGGCACTTCAGGCATCTCGCAGCACAGTAAAATCACAGCAGCGATACCCGGCTGGGCGTCTTTGAATGCTCTTCATTGCAGCATGATGCTGACACTCTTAAGGCTTTCAAGAACAAGTACCGTTCACTATTCCACCAGGTTGCGTTGGGAAACCGCACGGCGGGCGCCGCCGAAGCGAAGAACACTTTGCTCGCACCTGCCTGGCCGCGGTTGCGTAAGAAATTCAAAAACAAACTGCTGATAAACAGAACGTACCGCTTGCAGGAGTGGTAAGTGAGAAGGCAGACAGCAGGGGAGCGCCTGGACACATGCCCGAAAGTCCCTAAAGAATACATTCGATGAAACCGATCTCACGCGTAGTCAGAGGGAGCCTTCTTCCCCCAAGCATGCCAACCAACTTGTGAGCCCTATATAACCCCCCAAACTCCGGAATATCCCCAAAAACCTCAAGCCCAAACCTTGAACCCCTAACAGTGTCGACACCACACCAAATCTGATCACCGAGCCTCCCTTGCCATCTGAATGATCTCATTGCAAGTGGTGCCACCTGAAGTCTTGGGATGAGAGTACTATGCACAGGACAACAGCGGCTGCGATTCTGCGAGGGAATCGAGAAAGACGTAGAGAGGAACACTGCAGAAAGGATATGCATTTCGCTCATGTCCACATACCTACAGGCAGACGTACGCAAGTACACATACAGATACGTACATAGCATGTGCGCCATCACCCACAAACCCACCCAGCCAGCCAGCCAGCCATGCATCCATATCCATGCATCCGTCTATCCATCCATGCATGTTTTTGTGGATGCTTACATACATCCAGACCGACAGGCAGCTTGCGCCGCTGGATGTGCAACATATTATGTCGTCCTGCAAGCTTTATGGCAAGATACACTCAGAGAGAACGAGGGAAGCCAGGGAACCTTTCGAGGAAGCAAGGCCTGCTTTTTGATCTGAGCCTCCAGCGGACGATGGAGTCATCCACCAACAACACCTCGCTGGACTCTGCTGCAACTCGGGGTTTAGAGTTACCTTGGGCTAGTAGGGAATGGAGGAATGGGGTACAATTATAACTACTATTTCCACCATTCTTCCATTCCCTACTAGCCAAAGGTAAGTAGAGTCGGGTCCATCCAGGGCTTAGGCTTTTTGAAAGTTTGGTATAGGATTTCGGGCTTCGGGTGTCAAAGGCGACTGCTGATAGGAACCGCCATCGCAGCAAAGGTCAAGAGAACAAGAGGTTCGTTATCCGATAAGAACTAGCATAAGTTACAAGAACGAGCCGGGTGGGCAGTGAGACAGCTGCAAGTGTAGACAGTATTGTGGATATGATTACTCGCCTTCGTGTCCTTGAACTCACTGCGGATGGTGTTGAGCTTGAGGCGCATGGTCTTCCTTCGCTTCTGTTGTCCAGGCATGATGAAGGTCCGGGCAATGTACCGGTTCTTCTGGAAGGCCTCTCGCAAAGGTCGCTGCAGAATGTAGGCAGTCTCAATGGCCGTGGTCCGGGACGTGTCCGGGATGGGAATAACCACATCGATCTCCCTCCAATCCGTTACCTGTTGCACGCGGCGCGCGAGGCTTCGACCCATCCGGACCCTCGACTCGTACACGGACACCCCATCCATGACAGAGTCGGGTCGAGCGAAGTAGACATACTCGAAAATGCAGGGCACCAGTTGGGGTGTGCTTCCGCCATCATAGAAGCACTGCTTCGAGGACATGGAGTTCGAGCGGCTGTCAAAAAAGACAGCCTCACCTGTTTAAGGATTTGGGGGGTTTGGGGGATTTAAAATTTTTTTTATGACAGCCTCACCTGTTTAAGGATTTGGGGGGTTTGGGGGATTTGGGGTTTAGGGCGGCTTTGGGTTCAGGTTCGGGATGTTGGGGCTCAGGGCTTCACGACAGCTCAAGAAAGATCCGGTAGCTCTTGGAGCCTCTCGCCTGGATCCACGTCGCGTAGCACGTCAAAGCCGAGGGTGTCCATCACCACCGACTCTCAGGGAGCGATGTTAAAGTCCACTCAATGCTGAGTACGATTATCATTATAGTATATGGATGGTTACGGCACCTATCATTTGGGGTACCCAGAAAGGGACCCTAATTTTGACAACTACCCATATAGTACACTGTGGTATCACATGTCATGTTTGTATTTTAGTTGAACTTATGCAAAACAGCATCGAAGAAGCTTGGTGATTCCTATCCTCTGGCATGTACGGCGGTTCTTCGGGGTGCCAGAACAAGAAACGGGCCTTGAGGGCCTTTCAAGGACATCCTACCAGACTTCAAATTCATGGCAGATGCTCTACATAAAACGGTACCCTGAACCCCTGGATTTTCGGAAATGGGATAGTCAGCACCTGAGGCCGCAATGTAGTCGGTGACGGAGCCATCAGATCGTCGGCCAATGACGAGCGGCCGAATGCCGAAGACGTCCCGAAATGCAAGGATGCCAGCTCCTAGGGCGCGAAACGAATGCGAAGGGTCTAAACTTGCCAACCCCGTTCAGGGTACACCGAACAAGGATCTTGTATGAAACAGGTCAAGATGTATTGACAGCCATCTGTATTGATAAATGCCCTCCGACACGCCGACCACTGCCCGAGGCTTCAACAGACAGATGGGTCGCTGGTAGTGTTGAGAGAAGTAAAGGACTGCGAAGCTTAAATGAACATCCTCTTGACACATCCTCCTTTCAGACAGTCGTCAACTGGTGCTCATGTCCTGTAATGAGCAGGACAACGCTGTAGCCACCCTTCGCTATCCGCATGACCTTCGGAGGCGTTGTCGAAACAGCTCTCTGCTGTTCTGTTCGGGGCAATATACCTTTCGAGTAGACCACACTCTCTCTCTCACACGCTCACGCACACACACACACACACACACACACACACGTGCGCACACAAAAGCACGCAGGCATGCACGTTCCGCGCACACACACACACACATGCACACGCCTCCGCGGCCGCTTCGAAGACCTGCTCCGCAGATGGCAGCATGGCATCTGCCGGCACAGCGGCTGCCAACGCATGGGCAAACGTGTGCAGAAGGAGCTCCGTATCCTGATATTTGACGGAAGATGCGAAACATAGCCTTGAAAAGCCCCACATGCCCAAGCGCCAAATTCCTAAATCGCTAAGCTCCGGACCTGAACCTCTGGGGCAGGAGTTTTTGTGCACATGCTCCACATCTCTACCCTTCACCGGCCTACTTCCAAGGCCCAGGGTGCAGAGCTATGGTTTTTTGGGCTTAGCGTTATCTTCAACGTCCCGTGTTCATCACCTTAAAATACCACGAAAGTGATCACCATGATGGTCAGTTGTGTGCCCGCGCTCGTCAACACCCTCAATTAAGCTTCATCTTTTCCCTCTTACTATTTTCCTGCTGCTGCTCCATGCTGCCACCACCACCACCATCACCACCACCACACCACTACCAATACGACGACCAGGTCACTACCACTGCCACTGCCACTACGAGTGCGGCTACACTCCTCCTCCTCCTACTACTACCACTACCACTCTACTACTGCTACTGATACTGTTACTGCTGCGGCTACTGCTGCTGCTAGTGCTTCCTCTGTTACCGCTACTGCTACTGCTGCTGCCACAGTGGTACTGCCTCTGCCACTGCTACTCCTGCTGCTGTTGTTGATGGAGGCTTGCAAAAAAAGGGTAGCCACCGTTATGGTGGTAGCCTAGTAGCTTCGATGGCCACAACAATGCAAAGTATCGCTCTTGTACCAACAAGAATGCAGAGCCAGCTGAAAAATCCAGGCCGGTTGCAGCGAAGGATCCGACTCCGTGTTGGCATGCCATCGACTCTTCCGGACGTGCTGCCGGAGATCGGCGACATTGGTGAGGTTGCCTGGGTTCGTGTGCATAGTCTACGGTGTGGCTTGTCAAAAGTTTCCCAGCCAGCCTTTGACTGTGGGATGGAACATACCCCGGCTTCTCCTCGATTCATAAGCGGCCGCAACCAAAGATCCAAGAACAAAGACTCCTGAAATGAAAGCGTGGCTGCCGTTGTGGGCACAAGCCAGGCCGAACGGGTAGTTGCCATAGAAGGGCTGCGCCTCCCGGTCGGGTCGCCACAATAGGGACAGGGTGAAGCCAGGCAGCTAGACTCGAAAATGACCTCTGTGAGCCTATCATTTGCTTGCGCGACGACACTTGTTGAGGCAGTGATGGAGGTGATGGAGGCGATGGAGGTGATGGAAGTGATGGCGGTGATGGCGGTGATGGCGGTGATGTGGATGATGCTGATGATGATGGTGATGCTGATGCTGATGTGAGTACACGGAGGACGAGGACCGCGACGATGGCGATCACGTTCCCGATACTGGCGGTTGAGAACATGCTGGTTGCAGGGATGGTGTTGATGTTCGTGCTGACATGCACATTCAGCATCGCTGATGCTGAGGGCAGAGATAAGTGATCGGTGTGCTCATCAATGAATCATGACAATGGCACTGCTGTGAGTTTGACGATTTTGATGCTGACACTGGATGATAGTGGATGGCGATGACGAAGATCGTTATGCTGCTGATTGTGATCATGGTGATGCTGCTGCAGCGGCGGTGGCAGAAGCGATGCCAGTGGTTGGGCTATTGTGTTTCCGTGCCTGCAGTGTGAAGCTTGCTGCGTTTGATGATTTTGGGGCGGCCTCATTTCAAGCCTAAACTCCTAAACCCTGGAAGCACCTCTTTGCAGCTTTTGGTGCCCGCCGTAGGATACCTCCGCGATTGCTACCGTCACTTCAAACAGCCACAGCTCCTCGTCCGTCAATGCTGCAGCTTTGGGGTTTCGAGGTGCTTTTGAACATGTTGGGACTCCAGGCACCTGGGAAAAGATTGCACGAACCTTAGCCAAGGCGCCGGCAATGTGCCACACCCAGGTGCCCCTGAAGCTGCATCATGTGCCCCTGGCCGTGACCGCATCTTTTGCCCAAGCACTAGCAAGGATGGGAAGAATAATGACAACACACAGATGTGTAACACTGGTGACCAACAAGTCCAATTCAAGAAGGGGGGCGACATGATGTTCCGGACCCAAGGTTCTGATGGAAACAGCAGGTTTCACGGTAACAGTTCGAGAAGAGCAGATAATGCCTCTTGTACAGGGAGGAAGTCCATGTTCAGGGCTTTAGGTTGGACGCAATACTGTGTGATGCACATGGGTGGTTGCAAAAATTATGGTCCCTTCTTGGGTACCCTAAATCATAGGTGCCGTATTACAATAGGGACCCAAAAAAAAAAGGCACCATGATTTTGACAACCACCCACAAGAATCGACACCTTCTACGTCAACTACTTCGCTGCTTGCCCTCACCTCGAAGAAAACGTCCTTGACGAGTCCGTTTCCTTTGTGAAGATGCGTTCGGCCTGATGGCTCCAGGGGAGACTTATTACACTTATTACTGTTACTATTACTATTACTATTACTATTACTATTACTATGACTATGACTATGACTATGACTATTACTATTACTATTACTATTACTATTACGAAAACAAAAATATTACTATTACTATGACTATGACTATGACTATGACTATGACTATTACTATTACTATTACTATTACTATTACTAGTACTAGCACTAGCACTAGTACTAGTACTAGTACTAGTACTACTACTACTACTACTACTACTACTACTACTACTACTACTACTACTACTACTACTACTACTACTACTACTACTATTACTAGTACTAGTACTAGTACTAGTACTATTACTATTACTTTTACTTTTACTATTGCTAATACTAAAACTACTACCATTACCATTACTACTACTATTACTATGACTCGTACTCTTACTCTTCCCATTACATTACTATTACTATTACTATTACTATGCTTTTTACTATTGCTATTATCTCCCTGAGAGTCGAGCTAGACTCTCTAGGGTTTGAGTGGGTTCAGGGCTTAGGGAAGGTTCCGTAAGGACGTCCAGTCAGCTGCTTCAGGAAACCGTGCGCGTCACCCAGGTGACAATTCGTGCAGGTAGGAAGTACTGCCACAATCTTGCGAAAGGCCGTTTTTTCAATCACTACAAGCACTGCCAGTTTGGATTTAGCCGGAGGTGTGGGACCTTTCAAACACGAACTACCACGTTGCCACTACTCCCGCTGAACCACATCCACCCACCCTCACCTGACAAGATCCGAAACATGGACCCTGAACCCCGAAGCATAAACCGAAGAGCGGAGCCTTTGGGAGCTTCGGCGGTCAGCATCCCCGCCGCATCCTGGCCTGAAGGGCCGGAAGGCTTGACTGATGTTGGAAAGTGCCCTGCCAAAAGGCCTTAAAACAAGATAGAAAAAAGGGTTGAGCCAAACGTGGAAGGCTTCAATTCCCCTTAACAGAGCCCTAACGCCTGTGAACCGGAACCACGCTCCCAACACCCTCAAGCCTTCAAGCCAGAAGTATGCAACGAACCCTGACCCCTCGACTCCTCGATGCTGCAGCACCGTGAGCCCATCGAAAAGCAGCTGATTCACAGGCTCACAGGGATCCGCCAAGAGGATAGCCAAGATGCCGCACATGGCTTTTAGGGGTTTGGGGTTGATAGGTACTTTCGGGATTTAGGGTCTTACGGTCTTTTGCTTCAGAGCTTTGCGGTTGTAGTGGTTTTTGATTTTGCGGGGTTCGGCTTGAGGCTTCTGGGTTTCAGGGCTTGGGGCTTTTCCCGGGTGGTAGTTGCAGTCGTGACAGCGGCAGCAGTCATGTTGCTGGTGGTGTTGTGGTGGTAGTGGTAGTGGTCGTGGTCATGGTCCTGGTCCTGGTCCTGGTCGTGGTCGGTGGTAGGTGGTAGGTGGTAGGTGGTAGGTGGTAGGTGGTAGGTGGTAGGTGGTAGGTGGTAGGTGGTAGGGGTAGTGGTAGTCGTCGTAGTCGCCGTAGTCGTCGTAGTCGTCGTAGTCGTCGCCGGAGTCGTAGGAGTGGCAGGAGTCGTAGTCGTGGGAGTCGGAGTCGTAGGAGTCGTCGTAGGAGTCGTCGTAGGAGTCGTAGGAGTTGCAGTCGCAGTCGTAGCCGTGGTCGCGGTCACAGGAGTAGGAGTAGGGGGTAGTTGTGGTAGCAGTAACAGTAGCAGTAGAAGTAGCAGTAGCAGTAGCAGTAGCCTCAGTAGTAGCGTCAGTAGCAAAAATTGTAGCGGTATCATTCTAGCAGGGCAATCAGTAGCCAGCCGTGCAAGTGTCGGCAGCGCAAGCATGAGTAATAGTACCAATCCTTCTCAAACCAAGTCATCGGAAAGACTAACACAGCCCCTAAACCCGAAGGTAAGTCGAGCTTCAAGCTTTGGCTCTTGGCTTTAAAGCTTACGGGTCAGCGCGCATTTGGCTTCAAAGCCTTTGAACCAGCCGAGCGAGCGACCGCACTAGGTTTA